GAGGGGGATTAAAGAGAGAGAATGCACCCCATGGTCTTTTTTCCAAAATATAGTGACGATAGAGAAATTACTTTTGCTACAGATTGTTCCGTCTCCGTTCCAACAATGCATTCCTCATTCTCCACCTTCCTGTATACTCGTTCTCTACCTTATCTCATTTCATTTTAGATAGAGAATGTGAATTTCAGATAATATGCCAAACGTTTGTTTATTCCATTGCAAGGAGTGAACATATTCACTCTGTAGGAGAGAAAGTTCACTCCAAACGGAATGATTTCTTATTGTTTAACAAAGAGTGATACATTTCACTTCTAAAAATTTAGAGTGTTAATAATCTGCCAAACTTAATGCTATCAAAAGGAATCAAAAAGAAAATGACAAATTTGCATGTAAAGGAACAAGTCATTTTCTCGAATTCTATACTGATTATTTTTTTAATGATTAAATGTCTTCAAGTAAAACAAAATCTCATTCAAAATTACAAACAAAAAAATTTATTAAGACAAATTGAAGTATACGACTCAGTTGATTCTGTTAAAAAAAGAAATTTAAAGTGCTTAGTAATCTGTTAAACTTAACGCTACAAAAAGATTGATTAAATTATATCAATTATATCTACATTACATTTGCGATTTCATCGAGTGCTTCTCTCGTGCGACCTCTGCCGAATATTCTCTTGTAAATTTCAATATTCTCACCTCTCACTTTCGTAACAGCAGAAGCATTATAAATTATCGTCGTTAATTTGTCGCTAATTGTTTGTCATTCAACGCGAAGAAAAAAATAGCTTCTTGAAATTCTAAGCGACAAAGTAGCAATAGAAATAAATCTACATAACAGGTTTGAGGTATATACACAAAAGAAGAAGACAAGAAGAGAAAAGAAGAGAAAAGAAAATTTTTTCTATTCTATCACCGAATATAAATGCCAAAGACGATAAAAATTCAGCAGTACAGAAACGGATCCGATATTGAACAGTCACACTAGACTTAATACTTCTGAACGAAGAACTATAAGATCGAACGGTAGCACCTCGTACTACTTCATAATCAACATTTTACGAAGAAAAAGAACGTGGTAAATAAGAAATCATTTAACATATCTTTTTGGTTTATAAAATATTTTTTCTCGTTATTCATTTTAAAAAGAAATTTTGAGTAGTGAGTTTCTAACAGCAATTCCTTGATAGCATAATATCATGTTATTTATAGAATCACAAATTTACATAGATTCAAGGATTCGATTTTAAAATTTTAAAAGAATGCATTCCTCATTTTCTACTTTCCTATGCATCTTGTCTCTATTTTACCTCATTTCATTTTGGATAGATAGACAATGTGGCCTCTGATAATATGTCATTGCTAATATCCGGTTAACCTTACATTATTAAACAAAGTTAAAACGAAAACGGTAGATTTGCATGCAGTCAAGTGAGTTGTTTTTTTGAACTCTGTACCGAGTATTTTTTTAATTCTCGGATGACTTAAAGTCAAATCTCTCTCTTAACATTGCAAATGATAAAAACTTATCAAAACAAAATGTATACGAAGTGTATACGTATGTGAGTGTATACGTGACGTATATGTATATGAAGTATACGGTTCGCTTTGTTGATTCTGTAACAAGAAGAAATTTAAAATCTTTAATCGGTCAAAATTATTGTTACAAAAATATTAATTAATATGTATCATCTATACTGCTTAAATTTGGAAAAAATAAAAGCAGATTACTTTTTTTCAGTAAATTAATTTTCACAATATTATTTTGTGCTATATACTTTTGTACAATAAGTTACGACTACAAACGACTACAAACTTAATTTACAATACTTGCAAGCTTATTATGTGTAAACGATAACTGCAGTAGAATAATTGCTATAATTCAATCACCTTGCGTATTTGTTACCATGTTTGTGTATCTTATCAAGTTTTAGTCGCCCCGATGCCATTCACGGCAAAACGGTCTTACCCACGTTTTTTTCGCGACGTCGCCATCGTGATTTGTCACTTGGTGGATGACGAATAATTACGTTGCATTTGTTATTTCACGCGAATGCTTCTCTCGTTCAACCGCTGCCAAATTTTCTCGCTTGTAAATTCCATCAACATTCTCACCTCTTACTTTCGATAGTAACAACCGAAGCAATACGAATTATTGTCTTAGTTTCTCTAGTTGTTTGTTGTTCAATGCGATTGAAGAGATAATTTCTTGAAGTGTTTTGATTATAAGCGAGATAATAATAGATCTACAAAACAGAATTGAGGTACAAAAGATAAAATATGTTGTTAGAGAGAGATAAGGTTAAAATAAGAGAAAAAAAAGTTGTAGGCAAAAGGGAAAAAGAAAGTTGTTTCTATTGAACTTCACTCAATATAAATACCAAAGGCGAAGATATAAAGCTCGGAATTAATAGAAGCAGATTTTAAGACTTCGCCCACCACCGTTCGAAGCTCAGCGGCCGAGCCGCCGAACAGCTGTGCCTCAGGAGCGTCGCCCTATGAGAAACATGCTCGTACGCCTTTCGCCTCAAACTGTCACTTAGATATCATCTTTGCTAAATTATTTTTATTTTTATAAATAAATAAAACGTTAAATTTTCTATTATTAATATATTACATTGTAGTTTATTTATGGGTGTTTTATTTCAAATGTAATAGATCAAATATCTCAAAAAATATAAAAGAAATGAAAAAACTTTTTACAAAAGTAAAGTAAAAAGCTACAAAAAGTTTTGTAGTTTCGAAAAGAAAAAATAATGGCATTATTAATTAAATTGTAAATAGTGTTACTTTCGAGATTTTTTTATAACCATCATTTTTTTACATGGTATCACATATTTTTTGTTATTTTTGTGTATTTTTTGTTATGCAATATGATTTCTTTAGTTCTTTTAAATATAAAAGTAGTACACACATATGAAAAACTCAACTCAGAGTCATCTTTACAAGATATTTCGTATTTTATTCTGTTATATTCTGACATAAAAAAAATATTATGTAAACTAATCATTTTCTGGTAAATGCTGTTCGGCCGGCTGATAAAAGAACAGTTGGTTCGATGGCTCCGCCCCTGAATCTCCAATGGTGATGGAGGAAATCGAGCAAAATATGCAACTAATTCCGAACGCTAGTATAAAAACAGGAGCGAACCCCCGTATTGTGAACTGTCCCACCAGCCTTAGTACTTTTGAGCAGCTGTAAGATCGAACGGTAGCAACTCGTACTACTTCATAATCGACATTTTACGAAGAAGAAAAGGAACGTGGTAAATAAAAAATCATTTAACATATCTTTTGGGTTCATAAAATATTTCTTCTCGTTATTCGTTTTAAAAAGTAATTTTGAGTAGTAGTTGCGAGTTCTGGCAACAATTCCTTGATAACATAATATCGTGACGCTTATTAAAATCACAAATTTACATAGATTCAAGGATTTGATTTTAAAATTTTACGAAATATCCATATCACGTCAGAGGTGCATGATGGAGATGGCTCAAGAATATGCCAAAGCAAATGTCTTATCACGTCGTGATGGCCAAGACATTATCGAGGAATTTAGTTTCGAACTATCGAAGGTACAAGGTAAATGTCTCGACATAGGATCCGGTCCTGGTGATGTTACCAAGGACTTCTTATTCCCTCTATTGCCGCACGACGTCGAGGTAGTAGGTACGCGAATAAATGAAATTTGGAGGTACATGATTCCTATCGACGATGATCTCATGTTGACCTCATTACAGGGTCGGATATATCGCAATCAATGGTAAATTACGCCCGTAAGAATAACAGTAATGAACGACTATCGTACATCATCCTGGATATCGAAGGAAGAATGCCAAGTGAGCAAATCGGACAATACGACTATGTTACGTCTTTTTATTGTCTGCACTTTGCCTACGATTTAAGGTACTTTTAATATATACGTTTGCTAGATAATAATTAAAGAAGAAAAGCTTTCAGAAATAAAATTCACAATTGACAATTTTTTGTAATCAATTTTGATATTTATTAGAAAGAAGTTGCACGAAAATATTTGCATATATATTAATAAGTTTTCAATTAAGATTAAGAAAATATGTATCCCGTATAATTTTTCTAATTAAGAAATTATTAAATTTTTAGTCATGCCTTCAAAAATATATTCAAATTGTTACGTCCGAATGGAAAAGCGCTTGTGACGTTCCTTGAGTATCATATCGTATACGAGGTGTACATACGTCTTAGCCAGAATCCAAGATATGAATTTTATCTTCAGGTATCACAGTAACGCATTAAACATACATATTAATAAATGATAATATTAAAATTAAATGTTTTTCTTTTTAAGGATGCGCATCGCTACGTGCCGTATTTCCAAAGAAAGGTATACAAAAATATAGAAACTAGTTTACGAAAAATGTTGGAAGACATCGGCTTTGAAATCTTACATTGCAGCAAAAGAGAAAAATGTTATCAATACAACAATCAACAAATTTTAAAAAGTAATTATATTAATAAATATTATTCCAAAATTAGTATTTATTAAAATATTATTAAATAGTAATATTGAAGTAGTATTATATAATAATAAAACAAATTATTAGTCATCATAGAGAAAAGAATGCGTAAACATGATTTAAATCATAACAAAATTAATTAATTAATTAATTAATCGTCTAAATAAAATTCCTCATTTCTTTAATTAAATAGTTTTTAAATATCATATTTGTTTTTACAGATCAAATGTTATCCATTAATCCTTTTATAAGTCGAATGCCAGATGACATGAAAGATGAATTCATGGGCGATCTGATAAAAGAAATATTTAAGCAGGACGTTTGGATACCATTTGAAAACAAGAACAATGAATTCCTATTGAAACACTACCTCTTAGTAGCATATATAAAAAAACCTCAATCGGCCAATTAAGTACGAAAAATATATCTCTACATAGAAGGTGAAGGCAAAATTAACAAAGTTACTTTTATCTTATTTGATGTATTGGCAAAATAATTATAATATAAAGTACTATAAAATTTTAATGTAATATCCATTATTGCTTTATATATTATTGCAAAATAAATAAATAAGAATAATAAATAATATATCAAATTATATTCGATATTTCTCTCAACAAAATCTTACGTTCGGGGCGAATGTTCGCCCAAAAAAAGTAACAAAAAAAGAAAAGAATAAATATGTCGCCTTTGACCAACTTGTCTCCTTACAACATTAAATTTTATGTTTATTTTTGTACGCTACATCTTCGATTTTACAATAGCTATCTAAAGGGTATCGTTATTATAACTTACGGATCATACATCGTATGAATACAAAAGTGGATAATAAAACATTAGGATATCGATATTCGTAGCATAATGAAATGCGCAATATTATAACGAGAGAGAGAAAAAAAAGAAGTCAGAGGAGGACAAAGTATCCCATTATCCTTTTTTCTCCAAACTAGTGACGAGCAAATTATTTTTGATATAAAAAGTTCCGTCTCCGTTCCAACTACGCATATTTCCTCATTCTCTACCTTCCTACATATCTTTCCTCTACCTTACCTCATTTCAATTTGAATAAATAAAGAACGATAATATGCTAAACGACTGTTGACGTCCGATGCAATTGGCATTGAATTAAGTCAAAACGAAAACGACAAATGCATGCAGGCACACAAGTCATTCTCTATACCCAATAATTTTTTAATTGTCGGATGTCTTAAAGTAAACCAATCTCTCTCTCAAAATTAAAAACAATAAAAATTTACCAAAACAAAATGAAATATATGGCTCATTGTGTTGGTTATCTAACAAGAAGAAATTTAAAGTTTTTAATAATCTGTCACTTAGCGTTACGAAAAGATTCGTTAATATATCATCTTTACTGCTTAAATCTAGAAAAAATAAAAGTAGAATATTTTCTTTTCAGTGAATTAATTTTCACAATGTTACTTTATAACTTGTTTATAATAAATTATGACTACATATTTAATTTACAATACTTGGAAACTTCTTTTGGGTCCACGATAATTGCATTGGATTAATTACTGTAATTCAATTACCATTTTGCGTGATATTGGTTACCATGTTTGAGCATCTTATCGAATTTTAGTTTCGTCCCGATGCGGTTCACGGCAAAACAATTTTACCTGTGTTTTTTACGCGATGTCACCATCGTGATTTGTCACGTGGTGGGTGGCGAACAATTATGTTTTCACGCGAATGCTTCTCACAGTCGACCACTGCCAAATTTTGTCGCTTATAAAATCCATCAACATTCTTACTTATAGATTTCATCACCTCTCACTTTCGATGGTAACAAATCCATGTGATACCATGTGATATCTTTATATTCCCATTAAAACTTTCTCATTCTAAAATTGAAATGACAGTAGCTCTAATTCTTTTTAAAAATGATGATATCATAAAATTGCATGACATTTATCTGACTCAATTTAAATAATATGTATCCAATCTAAGTAAATACATATATTACTTAGGTAAATATACCGATAAGGGAAGCTGCCCTGATGACTTTGACCTTGATATATGTTATCAAGATCATCAAAACAAGGTCACTCTGAATAACAATTAAAAGCCGTCGCTCGTTATCCATTAAAAAGTTATTAACAAAAAAAGTTTGAAAACTCGTTTGGGTCAGTTATAGTATTAACAAAATTTTCCGTCATAGAACATGCATGAGCCGGTGAGGGGCAGAGCCTCTGCACTCTCACTCTAAAAAAAATTGTTTTAACTCACCCGTTATCACAGTAATAATTAAATATCATCGTAAAAAACCTATGTGGAATCTTGTTTCGCGTTGGAAAGTGTATGCGTTCCATCCCCTCTCGGGAGCCGTGCTTATAAAAGATCTAACCTAACCTAACTCAATGGTATATATTTCATATATACTATTTGTAAAAAAATTTGTTATCAATAATTGGCGCCAAGTTATATAAATTATCATACAACTATTTTTAACTATTCTTAAACTATACATACAACTATTCTTAACTATTCTTAACTATTCTTAAACTATTCTTAGAAAATAAAACCTGATAGAATTTCAAAGTTTAAAAATTAAGTTTAAATTAATTAATCTGAAATAATTATATACTATAAAGAATTGATGAATGATGCTTCATATTAATAATAATGTTTCATTAAATAATATATTTTTCTAACTAATTTCTAATAATTTCTAACTAAAATTCCAAAATAGTTTCAATATTGAACGATATATATAATTGTAGTATGTTGTAGTATGTCGTACATATTCTGCTGTAAATTTTCAATAAAACGATATATTTTAAATATACAGCGACCTTAAAATCAAACAAACATATGACAACTTGGCGCCCCCGGGTCGCATTAAAATTTAAATTCGGAATGATTAAATAATAATCTTGATGATTAACAATTCGTCAGTTTGTGTAAAAAAATACGACTGGTTTCACGTTCGTGAAGCATTGCCCCACCTATTTGATAATGAGCCACGATTGTGTTTCTCGATTGATTCACCGAATATAAATACCAAAAATGAAAGTAAAAATTCAGTACGGATCCGGTATTGTGAACTGCTTCATGCTTACTTCTGATATGAACAACGGTAAGTTCGGTAGCGCTTCGTACTACTTCATAATTGGCATTTTACGAAGAAGAGAAAGAACATGATAAATAAAAAATCATTTAACATATCTTTCAAGCATTCGATTTAAAAATTTCCAAATAACGGTGCGCAATGGAGATGCCTGAGAAATACGTCAAAGCAAATGCCATGCCACGTCGCGATGTCCTGGACATTATCGAGGAATTTAGTCCTGAACTATCGCAGATACAAGATAAATGTATCGATATAGGATCCGGTTCTGGTGACATTACCAAGGATTTGTTATTGCCTTTATTGCCGCATGACGTCGAGGTAGTAGGTACGTGAATAAATGAAAATTTGGCGGTACATGGTTCCTTTCGATGATGACCTAGTGTACCTCATATTTTACAGGCGCGGATATATCACAAGCGATGGTAAATTACGCCCGTAAGAATAACAGTAAGGAACGACTATCATACATCGTCCTGGATATCGAAGGAAAAATGCCAAATGAGCAAATCGGACAATACGACTGTGTTACGTCCTTTTATTGTCTGCATTGGCCTTACGATTTAAGGTACATTTGATATTTCCTTTGCTAGATAACAATTGAGGAAGAGAAGCTTTCAGAAATAAAATTGACAA